CGGTCGCCACGTCACACTCGTCACCGACGCGTCACATTCACACCGGTCCTCGCGTCACATTTATCAACGCGTGACGTTGGTGGCACTCCTCACATAATATTTGTCGCCGTCGCGTCACTGTTTCGCCGGATGCGTTACAAAAGCCACAGGAACTCGTCATTCTGAAGAGCGTTTGGCCTTACCGAGGCTGTGACCCCCACGCCCAGAAGAGAGGGTGGGAGCGAGGTGCATCCTCAGCCGTCGAGAAAGGAAGCCGGCAGAGCAGCCAGGAAGCTGTAGAGTTGGGGATTCGCCTTGGCTGTGGCTGGAGGGTGAGAAGTGAGGCCGTCTGATAGGTGTAGCTCATCGACGATACATTTCTCACGTGTGCCTTCCTGGCTCTATTGGATACGTTGGTGAGTAGTGTCGGTAAGGGTCAACCCACGACGCCTAGCTCCAGTGTAACTTGCCAACGAAACCTCACCTGAAGGCCATGGTCGGGGCTCAAACAGGCGTCAAATCTTAGCGCCTAAATGCATGATTAGGAAGCGAGGATTTCCTTTGTCGCTCCTCTTTTGCAGACTTGATGGGATTTCTCTGACAAATCCCAAGCATTCCAAGTCACAAATAAGCGCCTCCCCTCATGCAAATAGCACAGCATTCACAGGTGCAATGTTTGCCGCGTGCAGCAGGGTTTTGTCTGCATTTATGCACGCCTGAAGTCTCTGCACGGTGTGCATATACAACGTGACAATGTATCCTTAACAAGTAGCTCTCAGCTTCGTCGGGTCACTGAAGCGTGCAGTCTACCATAGGTGCCCGCAGGAGAAACGCACGTTTTAGAGCGAGTATAGGAAATCCCACCGTTTAAAGTGAACATAAGCGTTGAATTTCACATTCGATATCTTCGCCACGTGATATATCGGGGCACGGCCTCGCTTCTTGATGAATGATCATCTCGCACTCAACTGCTCTCCCAAGACTATCATCTGAGACGTCTCACTAAGGTGACGTTGGACCTTCTCTGGGTCCCTCGGATGATCAGTAGCGCTGGGCGGCTCCAGCCCGAGTCTGGCGGGTCAGGTCTGGGGCCCCGCAGGCCGGTCGGTTCTGTTGCTTCATAGGGCCGGTAGGAGATGGCACTGAGCCGGTACCAGGCACCGCCACCGCCGACCCACGAGGTGGTTGCGCCATTGGGGAGCGAGCTCAGAGGTGCGGCCAGTGGCGGCCAACGGTGGTACGTGAAGCAGTACAACGGGGGTACTGGGGTGGAGTTAGAGTACATCGAACGATACATTGGGTAGTGTACGGGTGTGGTTAAAAGTGGGACACTCACATGGGAAGTCGGATGTTGAAGTGGTACTAAAACTGATAGTAAATACGCTGATTCTTTGAATGGGGTCATCTCGTTGTTGCCTTGCGGTTATATAACACTAATCGATGGCATCTACCCCTTGATCCCACAGTTTAGAACCCAGATATTTCCTTCCTTATGTTTAGCTATCCTACTGACCTGCTTTACACTGTGATTGATAAGAGTATAAGGAACGTGGCTCGTGATATGTGTAGGCTACCTGTCGATGTAGGAATGTCATAGTCATATGATTTCATTCACGCCCTAACTAATGATATTCTGGCCTATCAATAAGCACATGAGGTGTGGTAATACCTCACGCCTCCAACAGTGAATCGCATTTCTCCCAGTCCAGCAGAGGACACCTGACAGGTAGTGAATACCTTTGAAGGACGAACGCACAGTTGACCCACATTTCCGATACAGTCGAGACGTACCGGACGGATATCCTCTGTCGAGCGGGACTCAGGTATGGCGAAATCAGAAAGTTCACATCGGGCGCCCAGTGATACTAAGCTGGGCAAATGAGGATATCCGACGGTATTGAGCAAGAAAGGAATGTGTAAAGACGTTAATGAGACTTAAGTACTTCTTCAGACATCTTGCGCTCGAGAACTGGAAATTCAGAGTGATTCACACTTGTCGCTGCTCCAAGTAAGCTGTTTTCTGTGTAAGAGACTCGGTCAAGGACATTGTTCATGTGGAGACTAGCCTTGGCCCATAAGAATTAAAAACAGTGCAAGTGTGGATATCTGGCTTTATTAGTTCTTTCTGGACATAAACACATGTAATCCGCTTACTCGCTCGTCCGGTATCATTGTACTGAGGCCTATCTTCTCATCTGTCTCTATCCAAGCTGTCTAACTCGGTCACAACACATCTCCCCACCCTCCATGATTCTCTGGAGCGTGTATCCCTCTGCACAGCCCGGTCAATCCAGCTTCTCCGGTCCGCCCACCCCGCTGTCACACTCACGCTCCACAGAGCGGCAAGCTCGCTGCCGCGCATCGAAAGTAGGCACGGGCCGGCCGCCGCCGCTGCCGCCGCTGCTGCTGCTATGGCTGCCACTGCCGCCGCCGCCGCTGCCGCTGCTATGGCTGCTGTCACGGCGGCTGCCTGGGCGATGCGGCGGCGGTGGCGGTTTCACTTTCAGCACAGCGCTGGCTGAGCTGGTGGTGGGCGGTGGGTGCAGCTCAGGCTTAGTTCCGGCATAGCCGGTTCGTCTGCTGGTCACCGGAACGCTATGGGGTGGATACGCCGGGCTTAGAAGGCGCTTAACTCACTACACTCCCAGACCACGTCAAGTGGGGCATTCAAGTTTGTCTTATATCTTAGCGACAGGGCTTAGTGTTGATGGATAAGCGAACTGTAATTTGACAGATGATGTTGGCTGTTATGTGTGATAGCTCTAAAAAGTAAAAGAAAACATTGCCGAAACTATGTTGTTCCGACTATAGCATTATAGATGTTATAATTGACTGTCATTATTCGAATGTCCCCTGTTCTGTCAACATATGTCGGTTGACATCTGACAGCTGTCACCAATGTGGTAAAAATAGCCATGTTTCACATGGTTGCTGGGCCACCGAGCATATAATTACGCGGGTCCAATGGTCAGCACACAGATGTCAGATGCACAATTTGAGCATAGTGGAGCTTTCTTAGGTGGAAACGATGTGAAAATGCGTTTCTGGGACAACAAAGAGATTGAGATTGATACAGCCCCTGCCGTCTAGGGCAAAGTCTAAAATATTGGGTAGCATTAATTAACCAAATAACTCGCTTTTTCAAGTGCATTCGAACACCTGCCCCTTTAAAGATTTTGTCATTTGATGCTGAAGTGAGCCTCAAACTGCTCAAGCTGTTGCAAAATTCACTTCAATCTATTAGAATAGCTTTTACACGCATTATGAATTAAAGTATTTAACACAATCACTCTTTATCTCACGATATAACACCTATGACGTCATATGTTGAACGCAGTATCGCTGCGATCTTCCTTCGCACCCACACCTTGTCACTCTGACCCATATACCAAGCGTGGTATATCGGCATCAAATCTCCTCAGCCACCCCTTTGTCTCTATCGAGCACCAAACCTTCCCTGAGTTTACCCCTCCCCCCTGCCCCACCTCTGACCGGTCGCATATTGATATCGATCTGCACGCTGGCACCAGATGAAAGTAATGATGTCATCCGGCCGTTCGATAAATGGGACACCCTCAGCGCACCGCAGTAGGTCACTGACGGCCGGTTTCGCCGCCGATTTGGAGGCCTTTCGCAACTGATTTACGTGTGTACTTACAAGGCTGCAGGGCGGAGGCATTTTGGATGTTCTGGTGGCTTATTAGGCAAGTGACGGCGGCCTTTTGATGCGTAGTACGCGCTATTTTGAGGTTATTTTTTGTGATTTAGGTGATTATGGTGACTTTGACCCGGGGCTGGTTAGAGAATATGCTTATGATCCCTGGAACATGACGTTGATATATTCCACAACGATCTTCGAGACTTTTATGTGGTAGCCTATTTTTGTCACTATGCTGCCAGAGCTGACACCGGTACTACCAGTTCGAAGGTATTGTTCTGAAGCTCATTTTGCACTTAAACTCAGTCTTTCAACCACGTGTGATCGTGACGAGCTGATTGGGAGGACTTCAGCAATTAATAGTTGCCACCTTTTTCCGTCGGCTCTGCCCGGTCCCTCTACCCTCACAGTTCACACCCACGGTCGGTTTCTCTCTCTGACGGAACATTCGTGAGCAGATCTTTTTACCAAGGAGAAATGACGGGCCACGAAGGTTTTCCTTCTCACACCCAGAGATACATCCAGTCGGATGGAACCTCCGAAGCCAACACAAACAAGCCGAGTTGGGTTGTTGCTTTGCTATCCTCCTCGCAGAAAAATTGTCAAAGCTTTACGCGGTTGAAACAATCAATTCTGATAGAGCACCCATGTGTAAAACTTAGCCATTTTTGCTTAAAACCTGAAGCTTCCCACAAATAAACCTGTCCTGTGTCACACAAACATAAGCACACATAGGTGATCAATCGATTTGACAATCTGTAATATCGATCACTATCCAGATTTGAAAGCAGTTTGAGTCATTGTTCTCACATCAATCTGGGCTGGTCTGTGCCGGTCCCATATCCTGGTAGACACCGTTCCTTTCTCGCGTTTGACCTGCATATAAGGCATGACGTGGTCACTGGTCGCCACTGTCACTGGCTGCGGCCTAGAGAGGTCGCCTACCGGATGTACCCCCACGAAGGGGAGTGCTGGGGGAGGGGGTCTGGGGATGTGGGAGTGTTGCGGTATAGCGGTGACACTTTCTTGTCGCATGAAGGAGTGGTTGGTTAGGCTTGTCATCGTCATCGTGTGATTCATACGTGGCTTGGTGACAACCGAATAAGATACATGTAAATTATCTCACATAATTATTACATTATTTTACATTATTTCGAGAATTATTTCTTTGCTTTATTTCTATATGAGTAATATCAGTCTAATGAAAAGGAAGTCCCACATAAACATTGTTCATTTCGACAGACTCGAAGATAACAAACGACCACCCAACGTTGAACACCGCGTGTTTCCCCGTATTCTCCCACATTCACCAAGTCGTGTTCATTTTCCACCGTGCACCGCTGACTCTGTTCATTATCCACAGGCGGCCGGGCGGACCCGTTCAGCGCAGCGGCACTCTGGACCGCCGCCCACCTCCCCTCCTACAAGGGCAGAAACAGCTCGGCTGTAGCCCTTATTGCCGAGGAGGCCACCCGACATCTGGTCGTCAGGTGAGTCGCTGTGACGTCATTGGGGGGTCTGGGGTCAGTGGTGACGTCATGGGTCAGCGTGTATTGCTTTGCCGAACATTTTGTCATTTGTCATGGGTTTTCTTAGTTCTTCCAGTATTTACTTTTCTTTCGGAAGCACAGACTATGACATAGGGTCTATTCTAACGTCTAAGATCTATCCAAGTGAAGATCTGTATTGCTCTTTGTTACGTTGAATAATCCTTCGCATTCATCGTCATTTTAGCAATTTTAATACCCGGTTGTATTTGTTATTGACATTTCTTGTTTGCTTTTCATGCATTTACTGAAGAGAAGGCACGAAGTTGCCAGTCGTTGCAAACAAAACTTTTGCATTGTCTTGATTCCGTTGTTCATCAACGTTTAGTTTATGGGCCTCTTGAATTCGTACACATTCCAATTTCCCAATTGCATGCTATGGTTTATTACCTATGTTTAGTAAGCACCCCACAAAGCAAGTTTTTTATTACACCCACCAAGTGATAGTTTAGGACGAAAGGGAAAGTAAAGAAATAATAAATACCTGTGATGTTTAGCAGCTAATCATAAAATCACGAGCAGACCCTTGGCCATGAGCCATTTTGCGCAACATCACCAACAACTCGGCTAACTTCTGGCAGCCGATAATAAGCCGTAAGGATTATCAGAATTCAGATTGATATGGCTTAGCGGGTGCTAATCGCAGGACCCGTTTTTCTCGTGCTGTGTTGAAGCAACCGTTGAGATCTACGCTGACAGCGTGTACACAATGATTGCGCAATTTGTTGGCAAGTGGCAGGAGCGGTGCAAAACATGCAGTCAGCAATTGGCATGGGGTTAGTGGGTTTGTGAATCGTAAGCTCGATTGATTTTAGCAATGTCAATTACAGGCTATTGGAAAAACCGATTCATGCCGACATCAAACCAATTGCCAATAAAAATCACTGGAAAATATTAAACCCCGAACTGCCGTAGATTTTCAGCAGAAAAAACGTCAACAACGGAAAACTTCACCGAAGATGACTACCGAACAATATTTCATCCACTGACTTCTTCGATGACATTCCATAAATGAGATGACTTCATAGGCAATAGGTCCACGTGCCAACGTGCACTACGCATTGCCTATATGATCTGGGTCGTCTGCTCCAGCGACCGATCCTATCACGTGCACGTGCTGCAATGCGCGCGCATGAATTTTCCGTGCCGAACAATGCATATAAATGAGACCAATCTGCTGGATCGTAATGGCTGCCTCGGATGAGAATGTCACTCCTCGAGCGTACTAAATGACCTCGAAAAGGTCATACTCCCGTCATGGAATCTAACCTTGATAGCAGCTTCGTTCTACCACGTATCACCTAATGTGTTATGTGATCCGTGGTTCTACGATGTCCACTGTCCCTGAATTTCGTTTGTATCCCGTCCGATGAGATGCGGTCTGTACCTGACTCATCCCAGCCGTCAAAATTCCTCACCAGCCATTCACCTCCTATCCCCCCCCCCCCGATCGCACGATCTTGTTTACACTGGGGGCGCTAACGGCCTCGCCGGAGGCTACTGCGCCTGCGCCAACAGCCGACCAAGGTCACGTGGCCGGGAGGTCGCAAACCGCACTGGTATAGGCCAGTGACCTGGATTAGACACCGGGGGGGGGGGGCGTCGACGGGATGAAACTGAGAGTGAGCCCAAGGACAGGGATAATGAGAGAGGCGGCAGCGCACTGGAGCGAGAGGAGATGGAGGGAGAGGGAGGGGAGGGAGATACAAAGTGATGGGAGACAGGGTGATTAGAGAGACGGTATATCGACAAGGGACAAGAGCGGCGCTTAGAGTAATAGCTCGTGAAAATACGAAAAGATAGCAAAGAAGAAGAAGCATGTATGAGAAAGACGGAAAGAGGAAGCACCAAGAGAAAACAGTGAGAGAATAGGAAGAAGAAAGGGAAAATAAAAATGCGTAAATGGCAAAGATGAACAGAAGGAAGCAGGGGAGATAGGTGATGGACTTAGAATACCCTCCAGATACCAACATTGACTTGAATGATGGAGACTCCACGCGAGTTGGACGAGCCGCGTGTCTGAATTTGAGCGACGACGGCTGACGGACAGCTCGCTACCATCCGACATCACTTTCCCAACGTCTGTGTGCCAACACTTCGCGGAATTTCAGTCGGTTTGGTGCTGCCGGTAAGGAGCGTCCGACAAGTGATGCCACGAGAGAGGCGATCAGACTTCTGCTACATGGCTGGAAAATGCAAGACGGGTCGATTGAGACACCAAGCGGTAAAAATTGGCACCTGGCGTGCTGCGATGCTTGCGAAGGACATCTAATCTTTCGTGGACCGTAAATTCTCGGAGAAGTCAAGCAGCGTAAAGATTCTAACAGGTTCTAACCGCAGATGGATTGGGGAAGGACTGGGTCCACCGATCAGAGGAGTTTGCGGTTGCACTTGCAATGGCGCGGAACGCCGCGAAACCGCGTGATTTGTCTGATGTTACGCAGTGCTAGAGGTCAGAGTTCATTGGGAGCGACTGTGTTCAGCAACTGCGCATACCATATATTATCTATCTCAAACAACCTGCGGCTACTTAAAAATGATTTTTTTCTCAATAAAAACTTGTTTTGAGCTGATTTCAGAATGTTTATAGCAGAGCTTCTGCTACGGCTTGAGCTTCGGTTAAGGTGATATTGCTCTGACCTTAGCAACGGCGAGTTGAGCTATCGCCTGGGTCGCACGAAGGGCGATATCGTCCGGACCTCACGAAGGCGACATCGCCGACAGTGCCTTCTAAGTGCGCTCTCGCCGGGACCCCCGCTCAGGGTCGCAGGTCTCCACCCAGCCCCTTCTCTGTCCCTCTGTCGTCATCCCCGTGCCCCCTGTCACCACCTCCTTCACCTTTCTGCCCCGGGGCCAGGCGGGCTCCTAATAATCACTCCAGTCCTCCAGTCCCTCTCCTCTCCTCTCCTCTCCTCATGGTGGGTCCCCGCCTCCCTCCCTCTTCACCCCCTCCCCGCCTCCGGGGGGACATGGTTTATTCATCGGGGCAACTTTCGCTTGCCGTTGGACGGCTCTGCCGCTCGGTTTCAGGCGTGCTAACCAGCTCCTGTGCTCCGTTCTTGGTGTGTTAATTCGGGCGGAAGCGTCACACTGATCGAAACACGAGACCGATCTTCCAGCCAGTCAACTTTAAATCAAATTTCTGCTTAAATTTCATCACTTCAACAAATTTTGAATCTCACTCCCAGCAAAAAACGTGCTGATTCGCAAGAGATCTTTTGACGACGCACTACTTTCGTCACAAATTTGTAACACAGACCAGCTGTTCATATTAGCGAACCGCCGCCGTCGTCGCTGCTGCCTACGGGGCCGACGGCGCCGAGAAAGTGGTGGTCGCCATGTTTGTTTCGTCACACCGTCTGAAGCGGCCTTGCCGCAGGCACCTCCAACACGGCTGGGTCCCGTGCTGGTGACACGAGCTTGGTCCCAGCTGGAGATACGAGCTAGAACCTTGCTACTGGGAGGGGGAGGAGGGACGGTGCGACAGGACGCGAGCGAGACCCAGCAGGAGTAGACTATGCCGGGGACGCAGTCTCTGAGTCTAGATCAAGGTCTTCGCCATGTAGGTATTTATTATACCTATGTGACTGCGTCTAAGTCTATGTCGAAGTTTGTACTGTATAGGTGTTGTCAAAGTTTACGCGTCTAAATCCGTCTATACATGTCTAAGTCTATGCCTATGTCTAAGAGTCTATGACGAAACTACCAACTATGTGACAAGAGAGGAGAGCTTACTGATTGGACGAGTAGGGACAATACTCCGTGAGGACTCCGTAATGGCACGAGTGGTAATCGTGCTAAGGACACGAGCGGGAGACACGAGCTGGATGACACTAGTGTCACGAGCGGGAAGACCATGTCTGAATCACGGGGCACGAAACAAACTCGTGATGATGACACGAGCGAAAGACACGAGCACTGATCATACCAAAGACGCGAGTGGTCGATGGGGGCAGTGCCTGAGGCACGAGGGGAGACCTTTCTGGGATGCCTTAGACCTCAGCGGCTTCAGGAAGGAGCAAGGATTACGACTGGATGCAGCAACTGCAAGTGCTGAGGCTGCGTTATACGAGGATGACGGTTCAGGAATTTTGTAAATATGCATTCAGCAATATCACAGAAACGAATATTTGTAAAAACAATTCCTGGCTCTTTAGGTTCTAATTTCATTTCAGCACATGCCCTTCCCAAAATTGTTAGGAAACAGAAAAAGGACAGCTTAAGCGCTCCTATCCCTTTAACCATTGGTTTGATGTCTTAACCACCTCGTCAATGTTTTGTGCGTTACATCAGCGTGTTTTTATTATGTTTGAATCGAGGATGGGTCGCCTTGCTGTCGCTATAGGTACGTGACAAAATGCAGAAACATTTGTTTCACCAGCTCATGGAATGTCGTTATGCTTGAGACCCAAGTCTTACAACAGTTCTTCTATTCACAACCCATTGGTTTTTCCCTTAATCCAGCTTAACGTTTGCCGTCGGTGATCACCGACATTTCAAAATCGTCATGCTTTAAAAATCTTCTGACCTTCATCAACAACAAAGACGTTTATCGTGGTGCGTGAGTGGTCAGTTTTTATGACATCATTGGCTCTCAGCTGTGCCAGCAGGTGCACGTAATACTAAAATACACCGTTTACATGACTAAGTACTCGTGTGTAGCGGCCTCCGAGTGTATTTTTACACACTTATCGTCATGACAAGGTCGCCAGTACGCTCCACAATGTTTTGGCTCAGTTCCAAGAGAAGCAGAAAGCCACAACGTCTCGGCATGGAGTAAAGAATACATGATCTCGGTATTGGAGGTTATATTAGCGGTATAGTGGCCAGCATCATGTTGCGGCGTTGTGGTTTGGGATGAGTGAATAGCATTGTGTAATTTGAACCCTTCATATTGCTGAAAGATGGTGTCACGCTAATGCAGTGCCCATCATTATTGCGTGGGGCTGTTTCGCCATTCGATAGTAGCCTAATATTAGCAAGAGATGTGTGTGAAATCGGGATGTTTCTAGCAATGGGCTTTGCGACTTGCTAATAAAACATCCTAAGGTCGACGTGCTATATCTTCCGCTTGCAAAAGCAATCATCTTATGTTTAACGTGACGAATAAGATCCTATCCAGTCGCTGATTGTCGTGTAGCTGGCAGTTGTACATGATCAGGCCGGGTGGATCACGAGCATTGCACGATTGAACAGTTTGCACATTCGCGAGCGACTTCACTGCCACAATCTCTCGCCCTATGGGTTGTCTCATTATCAAAGCGTCATCTCTACAAGCCCTCTCCTCGCTATTGAAACCACTGTGAGAGAGGATCAGATCAACAGAGGCCGGTATCTATTCGTGTCATTCTATCAATGTTGTTGTGATCACATATCACTTGGCGATAGATCAGTCGACAATGAACACATTTCATATTTCGCCAGCGCAGCTGTTGTTCTTAGGACAGACTGTGGTGCCAATAACAGTCCACGAACGTTGCACGCCGTCAGTTCTAACATATTTCAATTTTATAACCTTGCACTTAGCCAGACTCTCATAGAGCTTCCCACTCTAAAAGCAGGTGATATCTTTCCACCGACAAATGCAGCGTCTGGATGCTGTTCTATCCCCCGTCGCATTTTCCCAGCTTGTGGATATTGTTTTGTTCTCCATCGCAGTCTCCGCTCGTCGCTTTGTCTCAAGTGCTATTGTGCTGTGCGGAGTTGCAGTTTCCATAGCCGCTGGGGCCGCGCATACAAATGTATTGTATTCAGTGTGATTATTTCAGCAGTGCTACTGCATTACGGAGAGTTACTTGGCATGACCTGACCCTAACTGACCTGACCTGACCTGTGACCTCTCTGTTTTCAGTCATGGAATGGACATGGCAGAGGTCGGCTCCGAAATGCCCGGTGTGGATCTCAGTGGCACAATTCTGGGCCAGTACTGCCCCGTCTCTGGGGACAGGACCTGCCAGCCACAAAAGTACCGGTGAGTACTTAATATGCCCACCTCTAGGGAACTCTATTCTGGGATGATGAGAAGCACCCACGATTCAGCATCGCTCTATGCATGGATTGGGTATGACATTTTTGCTCGTTATGCACAAATGACTTTATGCCAGATAATAGGAGGTGATGAGCTTTATAAGAACTAAATATGTAGGAACAGTCAACGGTGCATAGCTTGATCTAGTGGTAAAAAAATCGTTGATCTGCAAATGCTTGTGTCACGTTTGCACTGAGAGTCATTGGCATAATCGTGCACTGCGTCATGCAAAACACATTGTTGTGTCCTTCCCAGGTGATTTGAAATTCAGACCAATTCAGGTCATCAGTTTCAATTGTGACGCTTCTGGCACAACACATCCGGGCCTATTCGTCTCGGATAAGGAAACTACTTAATCGTCGTAAATTGTGGGATCATGTTCTCTAATCCACCCGACAACATGACGCAGCGAGAATATTTCCCATGCATGATGCATTCAACATAAGTAGTTTCTTAACTTGTCCCAATTTCATCATGATACTCGGAACTGTATGCGTTCTGCATCCCCTTCCCCTATTGGCCCGTCTCCAAATGTACCCTGAGTTGAAACAGCTCGTGCCATGACGCAGCTGGCACACCAGGATATTGCAAAAGCTGTCCCAGGGGCCGGGCTGGCACTCTCGCTCGCTTCTGCGAGTATTATCAGGTCACGAGACATGTCTAGCATTGGTCAATGCGGGCGGCGGCTGATGTTTATAAAGGGACCTGCTGGTCAAGGACATGCTCAACCCCCTTTCATGATATCCAGGGGTTCCCGCTGCAGTTTCTCGTTGGTCAGGGCATCGACAATCGACATACTGTCCCTCTTTCCTGCTGGCTAGGGGCCCACTGTCCTGTTATCATGAGAGAG